TGTTGGGTCTTCTTGTTAATCGTGTCTGTTCTGAATGTTCATGAGAAATTGTGGATCCCAGAAACGTGAAGGTTTTCGCTGTAGACACAGGCCTGTTGAGTGTGGTGAAGGGGGACAGTGCACTTCAGGAAGAGCCCATGTACACTGTCATTGCCACAGTTTTGTTTAGTTCCAAGTTGTTGTGACGACACCAGGGGACCATCCGTTGAACTTCCCACCTGCATGCAAGCTCATCACCTTCCTGGGTGAGGCCAGTGACCGTTGTGTTGTCTACAAACTTCAAGACTTTAGCAGACCGATCCAGTGAGGTGCATGCTTTAGTGTAGAAAAAGAGCAGAGGGGACAGCACACATCCCTGGGGGACGCCAGTGTTGATAGTCCTGGTGCTGGATGGGATTTTTCCCCACACACGTTAATAAAACTTATATTCGTTAAAGTTTTATCCGAATGTACAAATCAAACAAGTAAAATAAAACAATGTGGGGTGTTAAAAAAGTGAGGTTAAGTCAAAATGTCCTCACTTCAGTCTCTATCTTTAGTTGGACAAGGACTCACACACACTGTTTTTGTACAGTAGATTTGTGGCTATTTTTACTTGCTTCCACCTGCCAAGTGTTTGTTTCCAGTCAAAATATCAGACAAAGTTATCTGACCCGCTCAAGGTGACACATGCACACAAACACAGCTGGGGGACTTACACAGACCAACACTGCCCTCTAGTGGCAGACATGTATCATTACAAACACTGTCAGCATTTTTATTATGTCCTCGTCAAGCTGACCACTTGGAGGTGCTCATCCATCATACACTTTAAGACAAGCACTCAGCACGGAGGAGGTCACGTGCACATAAAGTGGGGGCTGTGAACAATGTACACTTTATCTTTTAACACTGACATTTTATGCAGCTGAGCATCTCTTCATCACTGTGTGAAGTGGAAACAGAGCTGAGTATTATTGTTGGCAATAAGTGAGACAGAGTGGCCTAAAAGCAAAGGGGGAGAAAGATAAAGAGAGATGAACAGAAAAGTAATGCTGTGAATGAGAGATTAAACACAGAGTGTTTGATGGAAGGAAAATAGCTATTTTCCTGCTTTCTGAGGGGAAAAACGAAACACAGAAGAACTGGATTTATCACATCTCTCCCTCTACTGTCTGTCATATAGCCGAGACATATGTGGTTATACAAAAGTGGCGTAGAAATGAATAGTGTCAGAATAACACCAGTGAAGGAAGCAAGTCATGTCTATCTACATAAAAGCACAAATGACACCAATAACAATAAATACTTAAATAAAGCTGCCATGAACCGATATCAAAGCTCTGCTTTCGGAATGTATATCTTGTATGCAGAACTATAAATTGTGCAATGAAACCATTTAAGCTGCACTATTGTGTCTTATAATTTGCTCAACTATATTGATTTTTTTTATTTTCACATTTCTCCTGTTAATGGTTGTTCTGCAGTTTAAATGCATGTCAGAATTTAAACCTGCGTACCCAGTACAGTCTGTAAGTGTATTCATTTTAACATAAACGTGAGAAAACATGAAATATATGTGTAGAATATGCCTTTAAATACATAATTGGTTTCAAGGGGCAGAAAGCTATGCACAATCTATATCAATTGCCTCTAATGTTTTTTATGGCTGAAACATTAAGGGAGGGACACAGCCCACTGGGTTGACTTAATGTGAGGACAGGGATGAAAAAAATGTGCCGTATTTTTTATATCATACTCTTACTGCCCACTTAAGTCTACAAAAATGTCACACATATATATTTTTTAATCATTATTATTTTGAATGAGGTCACTGATTTCTGACAACAGACATCCTCCATAGTTCTTGAAGCAAACGTCCATTAGCTAGGAGGAAAAAATCTGAATATTGTGCCCCACAAATACACATTTGGTTCTCTACAGAGCACTTTTGGCAGCAGGACAGTGTGTCTGTATGGTTGAGTCCAAAAGAAACCCCCAAAATAACGATAGCATGTGTCCACTGATGCGTTGTGATTCGTCTTTGGACAACAAGAGAACTCAATGGCACACATACAATCACTGACATAACTATCCTGCATCTATTTTGCTGTAAACCTGCTCTGCCACTCTGGATCATCCCCCCACGTGGAAGATTTGTAGCCACCGGACAGCTCGGCGGTGCATCACGGACACAACAGGCTGTTGCTGCGATTGAATCTGTGACCTTTTGCTGACAAGATGCACTAACCGCTAATCCATCCTGCTGCTCTTTAGCTGATATCTGATGTCATCTCCCACGTAAAGGATCTCCCCGGTCAGTCTGACACCAACCCGACCCCCTGGTGATTCCGATGAGAATAATAATCTGTCTTCATCTGCATGTGACGCATGTGTTTCAGTGTACGTCGGCAGTGAAGTGAATGTTTCTGCACAATTTCCAATTTGAAATATCTGCACGTTTATTGTATTTGGCAAGCAACTTTGATTTTTAAAATATCAAAAATACACAAATGCCAGTGGGAAAATAAACATATTTATCATTAAATCATTGACAGCTAATGACAAACATGAAAGAATAAAAATAAAGACATGAGACGTCATGATTCTTTAACTGCTGCATCAGACAGTGATTCATAAAAATTAATCCTCATTTTGTGTGACACAACTTGTAATCATGAGAGTATTTGACTATACATGACTATACATTCCTCTGTACAGTTAAACAGTAAAAGACGGAACTATTTACACTTTATAGCATTTGCTGCGGTCAGAGCCATAACAGATGAAGCCTTTGTAGAATCTGACAATCACCGCATGCTTGTGCCATCTGTGCAAGTTTCTTATTTTACAGCAATTACAGGTTGCAAGTTACACGTGTCATGAGTTACTGTAAAAGATCATCATGTGTAGAATTCAAAAACACTTCAAGTGGAGCAGACTGTCTCTTGGGATGGTTTCGATGGTGCAACACAAAAGATGTAGAAGGCCGGTGAGAGGTGGTTCTTCTTTATGAAGTTGTTTGTGTGGTCAAGCTTCAAAACGTCACCTGTAGTAGAAAACTGTCAGAGAAACCAAATTTACAGGCCACATTTTATTTTTTTATGTTATAGGAATTACAAACAGAGATGCACATCTTGTCATGTGATTCCATTTTATCTCCCAGAAGTATATATATATATATTTATATTTATATATCTTTTCTTGGTAGTTAAAAACTGTTGCAAATAATTGAGCAAGACATTACTAATATTTTATTTTCAATGGCAACAATCAAGTTTCAAATACACAACATTGTAATGAAATTAAAAATTATATTACCATTTGTTGTTGTTTCGCTTGTTTGTTTTACTCTTTATTGAAAGTTAATGTTTTTTGAGTCTCTGTGAATTACGGATCCTAAAAAAAATACTCAATGTAAAAAAAATATATATATCATGAAGTGAAAAGAGAACACACACATTATATATATTTTTTAAATGGTCGCCTCACATACACAAAGACACACATGGATGCACGTGAATCTCCTCAGTAGTGTCTTTGCTCAACATCTGTAAATGGCTCTGGCTGCATTTTCAGGCAACGCCACCCTGCCGACAACAGGGGGCAACAAAAGCTCACGAAAACAAGAAAGATGTGAAGAGAAACACAGAGTAGATTTTACATAGCCCTCCTGTCCCATGCCTGTTGGATAGCAGGCCTACAGTACTGTTGTCTGGGTTGGTGAGGTTCCTTTTTGAACGACTTGAGTGACACATATACATTCTGGGGGGGAAAAAAAGAACTTCACTCTTCATTCAAACAGTCAGTGTTATAAGAATCTGCACGACAAATATTTTAATTGTTGAGATAAAATTTTGCTGATCTATCATTGCAACCTGCTTGTTTAACCCCCAAAAGGAACTGCGTTATCTTAGGTAATTTACAAAAGGTATAATTTGTTTTCTTTGGGATTACTTTGCTCAAAACACAAGACATTGCAAAGGCAGATTAAGTGTTTGCATACATGATCTCACAATATTTCTCAAGTCATCCTAACAGCATTGATAATAAAAAGCATCCCCCCGCCACAGTTTTACAGTAGACATTAATAAGCGATTCATACCCAGACACCTGTGTTCCCCTGACGTACATCATGCTACCCTCCAACCCCGACTGTTGATTTGATTGGCAGCGTGCAAATCACCGTCGCTGTGCCGAACAGTTTTCTCTCCGCACAGCAGATGTTTGACTCGTCACAGGCAGTCCTGTGGAAATGGGAAGAGTCCAGCGAAGGTCACAATCTTTCCTCGCCGCCTTATTATTAGATTAGGTACTTCCATGGAAAAAAAATAAATCTGACAGTCTTAACCTTGAAAATAATCAGATTTCAGACACAATGATGATTCAGGCAACTCTGCAGACGGTTATAAGCTGCTGTCTGGTTGTTTTTTTTGTGGTTTATTGTCCTGTATGTCCACTGATATCATCCCCTATTGCAAGCAATATTGTCCAGTTTTTATCAGCTTCCAATATTCTGTGCTTTCAGAGCCATTAAAAGCTGCACTAGGCAAATTCTGCAAAAATACAACAGCCTTGCTCTGACAGAAGACAGTCACTCATATACATATAAGAGGATTCAATTTGCTTCCATTTGCACAAATTGACTTCTGCTGGCAGCAGATCTTCTCCACCCACCAGATGTAATGATTTAAAGTCGAGCATAATGACCAAACAGCTTTCTGTCTAGACGAAGCTCGACTCACAAATGAACTGATGTTTTTCCTTGTTCATTTCTTTGAATTTCTGTAATGTCAATTCTTTACACTAAGGGGTCACTTTAAGAATGCTGCATGCAGTTTACAGACATTTTTTGTCTCTTTTTTTTTCTCGCTATCATGTGCAAACAATGTGCAAAATTGCCTAGTGCAGCTCTACCAAACCAACGAACGTATAAAAAAGGAAATCATCCCTTTTAGCATTCCATCACAGTTTGTTCTCCCACAGTTAGTCCTCTGCGGCAGGTTTAACGTGTCGTACATTCAGGCTGGTCTGCATTCCAACATCTTCTTGAAGGCTTTCCTGAAGCTGTCGTCCAGGAAGGCGTAAAGAAAAGGGTTGAGGCAGGAGTTGGCATAGCTCAGGCTAGTTATGAAGTAGGAGATCCCAATTAGCAGCGGCGTGGTCCTCAGGTCGGTCGTCAAAGCCACGATGGTGCTGAGGTGGAATGGCGTCCAACAGAACAAGCAGACAGCCAAGACGATGAACACCATGATGGTGACCTTCTTCTTGGCCTTGTCCAGAGCCTTGGCATTGCTGTTGAGTCGCATGTTTCTCAGCTTGTAGAGCATCATGGTGTATAAGATGCAGATTGTTGAGACTGGGATAGCGAAGCCCAGGATGAGTGTGTAGATCCGACTTGTTTTGAACCACAAACTTTCAGGGCTAGGGAAGCTGAGCACACAGCTCTTCCTCCCATCGTTTGGGCTGACGTAGACGCCAGCGAAAACAGTGAAAGGCATGACGATGAGGATGACGAGGATCCAGACGCATAATGAGATGATTTTGGCTGCTCGGTAGGTGCGATAAGGCATCCGTTTGGACCTCACTGTGGCCAAAACAACTAGATAGCGGTCTATGCTCATCACTGTCAGGAAATAGATACTGGAGAATATGTTGTAGTGGTCAATGCTGAGGATAACTTTGCACAACACTTCACCAAAAGGCCAGTAGTTCAGTAAGTGTTCAGCTATGCTGATTGGCAACACCAAAGTGAACAAATCATCTGCAATCGCCAAGTTCAGGATGAACATATTGGTGACAGTTTTCATTTTGGGGGCTTTGAGGATAACATAGATGACAGCTGTGTTGCCAGTCAGTCCAACTGCACAAATGACAGAGTAGATGATCGGTAAAATGATGTAAAGGTCAGCGTAGAAGTAAAACTCAGAGGGAGGAGTGCAGTCAGTGTGGTTCCCTGACGTGAGGGAGTAGAAGTCCACAGAGTCATTACAGACAGGCGGCGGGCCGCCAGCGGTGGAGACATTCTCCATGTTTGAAGAGAGAGGGGTGGCGGGATGGCAACTAAGAGTCTGTTAGCATTTTGAGACAACAATCCACCGATAGTCAAGAAAAGTCTTATTTTTTCCAAGAAAAAAACTTGTCTTTTTGTTCTGCTCTAGACATTTTCCCTCTCAGGACACATCAGTCATTAATCACTGAAGCAAAAAGTTGCAGTTCGGCAGACAAAAAAAGTTATTGTCACTGGAGAAAGAAACTTAACCTCAGACCACTAAAAGACAACAACTCTTCTTAAGCTGCAGCAGGGATCACAGCCGGCAAATGAGAGCAGCAGGTCCAACGATTTCACTGTCGTTTCATTTTCTGGAATGTTGCAAAAAGAGAGAACATCTTACCTTTCCCACCAACTGTACAGACAGTTACAAAGTGATAAAAGGACATCATGTGCATAATTAATATCCTATCAGATGGAATTTCTCAGAAAATCACACCCTGGGAGAGTGTGTTGACGATGAATCTATTTACAGTCCTCGGGGTGAAAACGCCTCAGACACCAGCTTCATGAGCGCACCACCGTCACTTTTGTTTCAGGGGATTAATATTCAGCATCCACTTCTAGACATGGTATCTCCTCTGGGATTCACTCCTTCACTTTTCCTTCATGAAGCCGGCGTAAAAGAAAAAAAAAAAAAAATCACATCCCATATGGCCTCCTCTGATTCTCTCCTCCCCCGATGCCACAGACTTGAAATGAGCTTTTTTTTCTTTTCTTTTTTTTTTCCTCAAAGGCTGAACGTGACCACGATTAGGTTTACGATGGTTATTTATGGTTTGGCGTTCCCTCTCTGTGTTTCATGTGCGCTCTGGAGAATGTGCCACCGTTTTACGCACGAGTGGCGCATCACAAAATCTGGACAACAGAGAGACGTAAACATTAATTAGTTACCTTGCACGCATTTTAAACATCGCTGAAGATGGAGTAAATGGATTTAAATGGACAACACGTGCAGACTTTACTGTTAACTGCCTGAAATCAATACAGACAAAAAAATCAATATTTCGGAGATGAAGACAAAATAAAGCGAAATGAACCCAGAATTGATCAGACTTACAACTCCTCATGATTTTTTTCTTTCTACTTAACATGCCACAAACTTCTTTTTCCTTTCTCCAATTAACGCAACGTATTTTAGCCATGCATCATAAATGAAATGTTTCATGTCTATGTTAAATAAGAGATGTGGCAAAAAAAAAAAAAAACAACTCAAAAAGCAAATCTTAAATAAATGCATCAAAATGTTACACCTAAAAAGACCTTGTATACATAAATGAAGGAGCTCCACTGCACAATCAGTCGTCAACACATCACAGCATATTTAAAGAATGCATTTAGCAGATTTTCGAGTGAGTTGAGGCGGGTTTACCCTTCTGTGTCCCTGGTAAAGTCACTCTCCTCCGGTGTTACCTCTGCAAGAACCGCGCTGCGCTCCAGCCTCTGCGCTCCTCTCGCTCTCTCTCTCTCTCCCTCTATCTGACTCTCTCTCTCCCCCTCTCTCTGACTCTCTCTCTCTCTCCGTCTCTCCCACAGTCCTGGAAGGCAGCGCCACCGGCTGACGTCAGCCCGAGATCCCCCCCCGTCAATCATGTGAAGGTGCCCGGTTCAGCCAATCTGCCTTCAAAGTGTCCTCCACAGGTCAAAGTGTTCATAGTGTTCAGGAACACTTCTAAAATGACTGTGACAAAGGGCATTGCACTTTCCAGCAACTTGTAAGTCAATCACGCTTGGCCCATAGTTCCATCTACCACCACAAATATCTAGACATCAGGAGCATGGTGACATGTTCATTAGTCCCTTCACCTTACCTCAAATTATTAACTTGGTTGGTTCAAAA